AGCGCCAGGTGCGACTCTCATTTGTAGCCATTTTGGCACCGTGTCTCCGGACACCCCGAGAGTTCGCCCCTGCGCAGGTAAAACTTTGGCCAATAAAGTTCCATCTTAAACTCCTGAAAGCTTCCGACCATTTGTTGCTCGCATTGGTGGATGCTACAGATGGGATGGTGGGAGTCAAGGAGACAGGTGTAAAAGGTGAAGGGATTAAGAAGCACAAATTGCTTGTTACAGAACAGTCATGCAGATGTAAAGGATAGTATAAGGAATATAGTAGTCAAAGAATATATATGCATGACCAATGGACATGAACAACAGTGTGTGAATTGCCTGAGGGAGTGGGGTGGTCTTGGTGGAGGGGGGAAAAGGGAAAAATTGGGACAACTATAATAGCATAAACAATAAAATACAATTTAAATTAAATATAAAAAAATAAGGAGTTGTGTGACGTTGAGAGTCAAGGTTTTCTCATTTGCAAAATAGAATAATAACCATTTCCTCTGTTCTTTGTTGGGAGCAGGTGAGACGAAATGCTTAGTGTGGCAATACACAATAAGCACTCAAGAAGAGTTGTGTGCTACTCAGTAAGAGGATATACAGCCTGGGCTTGAAAGGCCTCCTGGAGGCAGTCACTCTTGAATTCAGTCTTAACCACTGAATAGGAAGGGGAAGGAATTAAGAAAGAACCTTAAAGAAAGGTTAAGTTTCCACTGTAACACTGAGAATTTTTCATAATCCAGTCTCTACCTATCTCACCAACCTCATGTCTACTTCAAATCCCCTCTTCCAGGATGGCTTACTTACTAAGTTCAGAATATGCTTAAATTTACTTTCTTGTCTCTATCACTGCTTAAGTATACCCATCCCTGTTACTCACATTAGCCTAAAGCCTATCTATAAAATCAACATAAATTTTACCTTCTTGTAATTGATCAATCTGGTGCTTATCAACAGCTCCATCTTTGAACCTTTCCATCACAGGGCCAGATAAACACACTCCAATACACACTTCCTGTGCCCACCCATTACATACACCTTTGCACTGAGATTTAACTTTTTACATGAGAATGCCATGTCTCTATTAAGATATAATTTCCATGAGAGTTAGGTTTCATATAATCAAGAGAAAATAGGGCAAGGATACAGCATTTTAGTCTCAGACCTATTTGGTACATGAAGGAATAGATCGGAAAACTGTTAGCAACAGCCTCAGGGTTAAACACAAAGCACATGACAGATCTGTAGTGGCTTAAATGCTTAGACTTAATAAGATTTCTTGTTTTTAGGTCCTTGTCTTGACATGCCCTCACTTCTATCAACAACAACCTATAAAAACTTTCCACTGTTGACTGTGTAAGTCATTCAAGATGCCTCCAATCCTTCTGGGAATAAGGCACAAAAATAACAAAATAAAGGTCAGGAGACAGGCTGACAGACAACTCTTTGGACATGGCTACTATACTGGGAGGTAGCATATGAAACAGTGGAATCAACAGATCTTGAAACACCATGTAGGCAGGTGTTCAAACAATCCTTACTGGATACAGAACTTGGAAATCCTTAATCTCCCTGAGAAACAATTTCCTCATCTAATAATGTGGCTTAATCACTTACCACTCAGTTACTGTGAAAATTAAATGAGTTAATACATATATAAAGTAGCACAGTGCCAGAAAGATAATACTTGCTTACTTATTCATTATTAAAACATTATACCAACCCATTTATCCTCTGTAACTCCTTTAAAGAAAGTAATAAAAGAGTGATTTTCTTCCTTCTTAAAGATATATCAAGATCAACTTGCTGAAACTCATTGAGGCCACAGGCCTGAACAAGGAATCCTAACCCTAACACCCGGTGCACAGTAGGGTCATTTTTATGACTAATCTCTACCTATTACAGTGAGGGGCGGGGAACTAGATTAGATTCTTGTCATACTTCTTAGAGTAACTGAGTCTTCCCAACATTAAGAACATTCAATTTTTGATAAAGGAAAAAGTGGGAGGCTTAGAGACTACAGTCAACCTGGACTCCCACAGAAAGAAAAGAGATAAATAGTGTTCCATAAAGCCTAACAGGTAAACTCTTCATACCCCTGAAGGCATATGAGATTGTGACCACCGCCTCTGACAATTCTTCCAGCACCTACTGTTAGTCCAAGATGGCGAGAATCATAAAATTACACATGAAATGGGCCAAAGAATCCTGAGCTCTTGGAAGTGGAAGAAACCTTCAAAGTCATCTGGCCTGAGCCTCTCCTTACACAGTTGAGGAAGCTGGAACAGGAAAGTAGCCAAAACGCACACCAAGCTTCTTTTTTGCCTCCCTAGGTACTCATTTCATTTTTTAAATTTTCCTAAGATTTCATTATTTCCTATGCAGTAAGCAAGATTAGACAGAACAGTTCATTTGCCTTGCAAAATGACCCCATCCACTGGAAATATCCAAGACTCTTGCCCCTAACAGAACACTGGCACAAAAAAGCAAAGGTTTATACATTCTTGCCTGATTGAACTATCAAGTCCCTGCATAGGAAGTTGTACAAAGACAAAGAGTGGCAATACAGCCGACAAAAAGAAATGCATACTGAGAAGTAGAGACTTCTCATAGTTCTTTTACATAAAGAAAGATCTGCATGGGACTGGCAAAATCACTGGAAGTTTCTAGTAGTGATAACTGACTTTTTCCCTGTGTATCTTCATGCTGACACAGTAAAAAAAAGCTGAATTAGACTGTAACACTTCTTAGGAGTACCCCATACTAGCTCTGGGAGGTGATGAACAGGAACTTAATACCCTTCTTTGTTAATTGAACTAACCAAACTTCAAGTGATTGTTTTAATCTAAATTCAATCCAAAACGTGTGGCTCTACTCTCCTAAGTTATCACTTTGTATGAGAAAGACATGAACATACTTGGAAAATTAAAGAAGTTACCCAGTGAATAAACCCATTCACTTGGAATAAATGCACATATAATACAGAAATTAAACCACTTTTGGGTAAAATGTATTTGCTAGATAATTATTCTTCTCAGTCCCTTTAAGTTTGTCCTAACCCAATGATTCAAAGAAAAAGCTAACTTTAGGAACTTTATAGGTCTACAATATCAACACAAAATTTTAGTGAATGGTGAGCTAAACATTAAGTGACACTGTTAGGCAAATGCCAAAAAAGGTAAAGAGATCCTATACTGAATTTTAAAAATATTTAGTGACTACAACATGCAAGACAATATCATATTCTGCTCTGCTCTAGTCAGGAGATCCTGGAAATACTTTTGGTGCCAAAGTCAAAGGACTATGTCCAAATATGTTAAATTCTTAAGAGACAAGAATCAAATCTCAAACCACATCACAAAAGAGAAAATGTAATGACTAGGGATATCTGAGATATAGAAGAAACAAACAGAAGCAGGACAGCTAGATGCCCCTAAATATTTGCAGGGTAATCAGAAAAGAAGCTACCATTATTTTAGTGGGCCCTAGGAGAAGAACAAGTACCAAAAGATGAAAAACAGAAAACAAATTTTGGAATAATAATAACTTTCCATGTTAGCTTCAGATGTCAATAAAATCAACCTCCAATATTTTATAACAAGAAAGAAGGCAAAGTATGAATGATTCTGAACGCCATATTTTATGGAGAATAATCTATGAGTGGTGGTCAGGCTATTGCAAAACTCCAGGTGAGAAAAGACAATGGACTGTTTTAGGTAGCAGTGATGGGAACAGAAAGGAATGGACGGCTCACAGAAACATTTCAGAGACAGAGCTCATGGTATTTGATGACTTCTTGGAGACTCTTGGAATAATAGTATTTAGTGGGATTTACCGTGTTAACCTAGCCATTCGTCTACTCACAATAACAGAAATAGCAAATACTTACATAGTGTTACCATGTGTAAAGAAATGTTCTAAATGTTTTACATAGTTGAACTCACTTCATTCTCAAAACCCTATGCAATGTATTCTATCATCATACACAATTTACCAACCAGAAACTAAGGCTTTCATCAGTAAAGTTGGTCAAAGAATAAATATCAAAGAACTGGTAGGAAGTTAGATACCAGATTTGGACCTACATAACGCCAAAGCTAAAGCTCTGAATCCATACACTGGACAGGTGGAAAAGAAAGGCAACAAAACTGAAGGCAGGCAGCATGTAATAATGGTAACAGTCCAGTGAGTGAAGAGCAGGAGCGTTAAGAGGACTGTAGGGGCAGGTAAGGATTTGGCAGTAGCAGAATCAGGGAACCACTATCCCTGTCAAGGAACAGAAAATTGGTGGTAATCTAGAAACACCATGCACTTTGTTTAAAAAAAGAAAAGAGAAGGAGAGAACGAGGGAAAAAAACCCAAATAATAAAACACTTGCATTGAATCCACATTCCTAGCGATGGAACATAAAAATTAACTTTTTAGTTGCTGTTTTAAAGCAAAACCCTGGGTAATTCTGAGGCAGAACCAGGTTTGGGAACTTCTGTAATAGATCTCTTTCTGCTTTTAAATTAGAGTTGACATTAAATGAAATTTCCCCGAAATGAAAGGAGGGACGGACGCAGGGATACTAGCACGAAGAAAACTGCTGTAATACAGTCTACACCGCTTATGTTCCCGTTTTTACTAAACAGTCTCTCGTAGGAATAGGTACAGACCAGGCAGTGGAAGGAGGGGGTTGTTGTTCATGGTGTGCTGGCTAAAAAGCAGGCTTTCCCCTGCGATTTTCTAGTACTTTAGCAGGAAGAAGCGCGTGTTTGTCCTGACTATAATACACGTGGTAATCCAATTTTTAAAAATGAGATTGGATTTCTCAAGCTATGGTGTGTCTGGCTAACGATGGATGACAATATACTCTTTTACGTGCTCAAAGGGGTTACAGGAAACCCCTAGGTTGGGGCCTGCCTGCTCAGAGGCCAAAAGAATCTGGCTCACCCGAAGAGGTGTCTGCTCTGCAATTACACTTCGAGTACCCTACTCCGGGAGATAATCTGTGCCGCGCATACCTGAGGGTCCTCTGGTAAGATTGATCTCTTCCTCAGTGACCAAATAATCCACTCTTCCGTTCATGTTTTACTGCCTGTCTGGTTTCCCACCTGGTCGACTAGCGCTAGCACAGGTGAAGGTGAATCAATCTCAGCGAGCAACCAAAACACCACACTTTCGGTTGTAGCAGCTCCTGGACCGGAAAAGGAAGCCGAGAGCGCTGGGAGCGCCAGGAACTCTGGGAATCGTAGTTCTGGCGGCTGGCGCGTTGAGTTATCCCACCCGGCACTCAAAGGAAAGTGTGAGGTGAGCAAGGAGCAAGTTACTACTGGAAGCTGGGGGACGAAGGGATAGTAAAAGTGAGAGAAATAAGTAAATTAATGGTGTCGAGGAAAAATTAAAAATAAAGTATCTTGCCACTTCAGAAAGTCTAGAAAAGTCTTATAACTGTAGAAAAAGAGAGAGAGAGAGAGAGAGAGAGAGAGCGAGCCAGGAGAGCTCCATTATTCAATAAGCATTAGACCAGACTGGGCCGGGCGTCTCGGGCAATCTGCTAAAAGCGATTACAAAAACAAACAGAAACCTCACTCTTATGTGGAACCAAGCACATGCCATCCATGACAAGCGCATGTTTTCATGTCAGAGGACTAAGCACCGTTTGCTATACATCCTTTGGTAAGTCACCCTTTGGGTAGCCATTTGTGTTAGTTACTTGTCATTATCCAAAGTAAAAAAATAAAACCGTCTCTGTGACAAGCAGGTACTTACAGCTTGGAGCATGGCGCCTATATACATATAAAAGGCTCAGTGGAAGGATTTATGATTTCAGGTTTGTGCAAGAAAATCCTTTAAGAAAAGTAGGGGTGGTGGATAAATGATCATGGAAAGAGATTATTTTTTAATTTAAATTTAAAACGAGATAAAGTATCACCAGTTTTGAAGTTTAAAAAAAAATAATAAAAGGGAAGAGGGATAACGGTCTCTTCCTTTTAGTAAAAGGGAGAATTCAATCTTTAAAAAACAAAAATCCTTATGGTAAGACTAGTGGGAGAACTAGCTATGACTTCAGCCCAACCTTCCTAACTCTTGAGGTAGATTTCCAAAACAGGTTTCCTTCAAAGGAACCTTCAAGGGTCAAAAACTCACAAGCCCTAAGAACCAAGAAGGCGGCTTAAATGTAGAAAGCAACCAGGAGTTAGACCACAGGAATTGGGGGTGGGGACTGTAAAGAAAGCAGTTCTATTTCAGTCATTAAAATTCAGATTAAATAATTAAAACAGAAGCTACAATGTTTACCAAACAGAAGATACCCCTGGAAGGCCTTTTATTTGCTAATCCTGTGAGAAGTTAATGTGAGATAGTGGACAAGAACTCAGGAGATAACGTCAGAAGGCTTGATCTCAAGTTTTGATTTTATCTTCCAGTTGTCTAGTTTTGACCAGGTAACATAATTATCTCCTGTGCTCCCCCCATTTCTAGAAGGGCATAATAATAGATCTTTAAAAGGCTGTTGAAACGATAGGATGAGATGAAACTTTACAATTCTCAACTTCAAAATCAGATTCCCATCATCCTTACCGCCAACTCTCTTTAACAGATGGTGGCTGGATAAGTGAATAAAATGATCATAAAAGTGCCCTGGCTGGTATGGCTCAGTGGATTGAGTGCAGGCTGTAATTCGATGTGTCAGGGCACATGCCTGGGTTGCGGGCCAGGTCCTCGGCTGGCCGGTGGGCGGTGGGCGTGTGAGAGGAAACGACACACTGATGTTTCTCTCCCTTTCTTTCTCCTTCCCTTCCCCTCACTCTATAAATAAATAAACAAACACATAAATAAATAAATAAATAAAATCATTTAAAAATGATCATAAAAGAAGAGTATGATAAGTGAAAAAACTAAGGTATGAGACACATTTGAATATCAAGAGAAAAATTATCAAATAGAAATTGGAAAAGAAAATCAAGAAAGTTATCAGCGAAGAAATTTGGAGAAAAACGGTCTTTTGTGGACCACTTACGGGGAAGTCACTACTCTGAACCTGGGAAGATTGACCTTTTCACCAGAGTACACAGCTTCAAGAGAAACACAAGTTGGTAAAAGGAAAAATCACCAAATAAGTTCAGGAAATGCTGGTAGTAAGTGGAGTGACAGATTAGACATGTAAATTGTCTTTATATCTTAATGTGAGTAAATTTTTTAACAATGAGGAAACCTTAATATGGAGGAAGAAAGAAAACAGAGAATATAGGGATTTCTGCTCAGAGAAAACAATGAGAATTATGGATTCAGGATAGTGATGAGGTATTTAGGGAATAACAAACACAACCGAGTCTGTGAGTGAAAAAAGCAGAATGAGTGGTAGGTGATGGCACTGAATGAGTAGGCTAGAAACAGATCATGGCGGAACACTGGTGCAGAGATAACACCCTTAATTCTATATTCAGTAGGCTTGGATGGAGGTTTATTTACCTCATATTAAATAATTCTAGAAATCAATAGTTTAGGCCTGCTATCAAGGCTTCTCAGTCGCTGGGGCCCAGGTTCCTTCCAGCTTTCTGTCCTCTCTCCAGCCCCCACCCCAGAGTATGGCCTTTGCTTCATGGACCAGAATGGTTAAGATGGGTTTTGGAACTTCAACTATCATTTTCACATTTAAACAAAGTAGTGAAAAAAGGCAAAGAAAGGTTCGCTCCATACCTTTACAGAGACCTCTTGGAACTTTCATACACTTCTTATTTCTCATTAGCAAGAAACCCTTACTTTACAATGAGGGAGGCCTAAAATATGTTAGTGGGGTGGAGATGTGCCAAATAAAAAAAATCAGGGTTACTATTGTAATTCGAAAGGTGAGAATGGATATTGGGAGGCCATAGGTAATCTGACATAAAAAATGACACTTTCTGTCCAAGCTAGCCTTTCTGTTCAAGGCCTTATGACCTTGAGGTATGTAAAAACTGTGAATTTGGTTATTTCAGCTTACTATTTATAAGATTAGTGAAAACTTTGACTCACACCTTGAGGCCTTTACTCACAACTTGCTCTGTTTTTGCACATTTTCTGTCATATATTCACTTTGTCTTCCCATTGTTCTCTTTGTTCCTGTCTCTTCCTACTTCAATGTTTTATTCTATCAACCTCTCTGATGACTAACTCATGGGTATATTTCATTTAGGACTTAACTCCCTCTTCTTTGATATGGCATTTGTTCCAACTTGCTGCTGTATAAGCAACCTCCTTGGTTTCAGACTTGCATATTTTATTTTTTATACACTTCTTTAAGTGATTAAATCTTTTTCTGATTGACATTTGTTTACTTGCTATGTTATTACATTTCATTAAATTATATTAGTTTGTTAGGGCTACCATAACAAATCCCACAGAGTGAGTGGCTTAAACAACAAAAAATTTATTTTGTCATAGTTCTGGAGACTAGAAGTCCAAGATCAGGGTGTTGGTAGTATTGGTGTCTTCCCAGGCCTCTCTCCTTGGCTTGTAGATGTCTGTCTTCTTCCTCTGTGTATACATGATCTTCCTTCTATACGTGCAAAACATATGTCCAAATTTTCTCTTCTTATAAGGACACCAGTTATATTGATTTAGAGCTCATCCTAAAGACCTCACTATAACTTACTTCTATAAAGACCTTATCTCCAAATATGGTTAACCTTCTGAAATACTGCAGGTTAAAACTTCAACATATGAACTTTTTGAGGACACAGTTTATCCCATAACACAGATTACAGATTTTAGAACTGTTATATATCTTTAAAGTGGCACTGCATATCTGCTTTGGCCATTACATGTTAGTTTTACAGTTTAATCCTGATACAGGACTATTTCTTTAATTTCCAAATTCTTGGGGAAAGTTGCACTATAGACCTCAACTACTGATAACAGCAAGTATCAGCAAGGCATTTACAATGATCTCATCTTCCAGCAGCCTTTTTGGTTGGTACTCTCCATTCTTTTGTATAAATACACTCTCTTCACAAGAAATCTAATTTAGTCTCCTGATTATGAATGCCATTAATATTCCAGTCTTCACTTATTCATTTTGCATTAATCTTGTATCAGCTGTCTAAATGTCATCTCAAAATGTGGATACTTAATAGGCACCTTAAATTACCATAATAAAAATAGAATTCCTAATCCCTGTGCCGCCAAACCTACAAGGTCTGTCCATAAAAAGTCCAACCATTGTTAATATAATGAAGAATGGTTTATGCCACATTGATGTAACTTGGCAGCCATGGAGAATGGACTGGAATGCGCATGCATGAACCATGGTAACCTCACTGTACTAGTCAGTGGAGGCAGTAGATGTCGTTGAGTGAGCATGTTTAATGTGTGGCTGTCACATTCAAAGCTGCTGAGTGAGTAGAGCAACAAATCTGCATCAAACTTTGCATTAAGCATGAGCATTCCTCCACAGAAACTATTTGGATGATTCAGAAGACCACAGCAATGGGTAACTGGTGACTGGCAGTTTCATCACAACAATGCACCCACTCATTGGCAAAACATCAAATCACCCAGGTGACTCAGTTCCCTCTACAGCCCAGATTTGGCACCCTGCAACTTCTGACTTTTCCCAAAACTAAAATCACCTTTGAAAGGGAAGAGATTTCAGACATTGATGAGATTCAGGAGATCATAACAGGGCAGCTGATGGAGATTGGGAGAACTGTGTGAGGTCCCAAGGTGCCTACTTTGAAGGGAACTGAGGTGTCATTGTCCTAAATACAATGTTCTTTGTATCTTGTATCTTTTACAATAAATGTCCCTATTTTTCATCTTACATAGCTGGATACCTTCTGGACAAACCTTGTATACCTACTTTAGTCTTTTCCCTTCCTTGGGTCACTCGATTTGCTCAATTCAAATAAAAATCTTCACAAGCATTCTTGATCATATTCTTTCTCTCACACCCTACATACAACCCATCAGAAAGTCTGGTTGTCTCTACATACAAAAAATATATAGTCTGTATCTGACAATTTCTGCTACTACCATCTTTTCCAAATCACCAGTAGTTATTGGCCAACTTCTGCTATTCTTCCTAACAGTTTGCCCTATTGCTACTCCCACCCTAAATACATTCTTCCCATAGAAGTTGAGGCAATCTTGCAAAAATGTAAATTAGATCATGCCATGTATCTGCTTAAAATCTTTCAGTAAATTCCATCTGCCTTAGA